AATGACCTATGCCCAGTAAGGTTTTTTCACTCCATAACTTTAATACTAAAACACTGTGGGGTGTGTCTGAAGCATCTTGTGTAAGTCATACATTCGTCTTTGGTTCAGTCGTTGTAATTGCAAGTTGTTTTATTGATAATAGTTGAAGAATAGTGTTTCCTTTTGTCTTTCTTTGCTTGTCTTTTTGTTTTTAGTGAGCGTTGGCCAATCCCATCCATTCCAACCATGGCCCTGCCTACGAAAAATACACAATACTATGCTGACCGTGCAAAAGGGGGTGGAGAACCTGCAGTTCTTCAGATGCTGTTAGGACTTCGGCTCCCAATAGCCCCAGTCAGCATGGTCAATGATCAGGGATCATGGGAGTTGTAGTCTAACAACATCCAGAAAGCTGCAGGTTCCTCAACCCTGATGTAAATTAATTTGCCCTTACTCTGAACTTTACCTTACACTATTCTCCAGTGAATCAAATTAATAGGTATGCTACATATTACCTGGTGGTGGTGGTTGTAACATAAATATTCTTCCAAATGTCACTGAAAATCTGCTCCTGGTAACATCTTGGCTACGCCCTTTGCAATACTTGCATACAGGGGCAGAATTCAGTAAAGGGTTCCATTTGTTTTCAACGATATCGATATCGATATCTAGATTGATAGATGCACAAACCTGTTTAATTAGTGAAATGTGTGCAAGCAGCGTAATTAGTGTAATGTGTGCAAGCACCTTTCTCTTAAAATTAAAAAAAAACCTTGTATTTTGTTGAATGAACAGCCACGCGTAAGAGGATTTGAGTCTCCTTCATGTGAGTTCCTGGGGCAGCAGTTGTTTATCCTTGACAAAAAGTCCTTGAGGTGAAAAGTTGACACAAGATGACAGGAGTCCTAGTGAACTCCTGCGAGTTCTTCAACTGTAAAAAATTAACTTGAGATGTCTAAGGCTAATGGGAGATTTAACTTGACCTTCTATGCCACCCTGATTCTGTGATTAACTTTTAGCAGGAGATTATGCGCCTGCTCACGCAAAACCATTTACCCTCAGTCAACCTCCCTTTCCGACAGCTACTCCTGGAATTATCCCTTTTTCAGGAGTAAAAATTGTTTTGACCAAATAGGAGTCAAGATATAGACAATCGTTGACATGAAGTGTTCCTCTAGGACACTTGGAGAACAATTCTGAATTGCAGATCCACTTTAATATTCCAATAGCTCAGAGGTTTCCATGAACTGAAAGTTGGAATATTGAATTAAATTAGGTTAAGTTTATCACAGTGAAGTAATACTGGGGGGAAATAAAGCAAGGAAACTTTCTTATTCAATCAATCAATCAATTCTTCATTGTGGTCCAAAGACCCACAAATAGATTCCAATACGATAAAAACACATTAAAAGCACACATACTATTTGGACAATCAATAAAACTAGGCTTGTTTCAGACTTTTATCTAATACAAAGTACTCTCTGATCCTGACCACCTCAGAAAGAAAGTTGGCAATTACAAGAGATAACGCTGGGAATCTACCGTATTTTTCGTTCCATAAGACGCACACTCATTTCCCCTTACTTTTTAGGAGGGAAAAAGTGAGTCTTACAGAGCAAATAATACGGTAATCTTCTAATAGGCACCTAACATAGAATTCTGTAGGTGGGAAACTTTCTTATTGTAATTAAGGAGCCTAACACCAAGCAAACTGGCAAAAATGTAGAAATCTAAATCAAACAAGTGTTGGAAATGTAAAGAGAAAGAAGGTTCTTTTTATCATATGTGGTGGTCTTGTAATAAGGTTAAACCTTATTGGGAAATGATATACAATTAATTGAAGAGGATGCTCAAAATAACTTGTGTAAAAAAAACCCATAAGCTTTTCTTTTGGGAATTATAGGGACAGAACTACCTAAATTGTATAGCAATTTATTTATGTATGCTATGCTACTACAGCAGCAAGAATGCTACTTGCCCCAAAGTGAAAAGAAGCAAAAGTCCCAGCAAAGGAACAATGGATACAAAAACTTATGGAATATGGAGAAATGGCAAAATCAAGATAACAAACTTTTTTATAAAAGAATGGAAATGGTTTATTGAATATTTACAGAGAAATTGCAAACAGAGAAAGAGTATATATTTAAAGTAGATAATTAAACAAGCAAATTATATGAATTTGGATATGCAGAAGATATTTAAAAATAAATGTAAGGAACCGCAGAAAGAGGGGAAAGAAGGTCAAACTTTGAAACTTTATTTTTAAAATGCTTTTTATTAACTTTTCATTACAACATGCACACATACGACACTTAAGAAACAAACTTTTTAAAAAACACAAAACAAATGGCAAACATTTAGCCATAAATCCGAAAGTCTTCCTTCCTCCTCAAAGTGGTTCTGGTTTCGTGTTTGATAAACTGATTCTTTCTCATTCCATCATTTCTACCCTTCTCCATATACTATGCTTGTAGACCATAATTTGTTTTGCAAAAATTACTCAAAGCAAGTCCAGGTTTTGATTTGGGGGCACTGTTTTTTTAAAAGTAATTTCTGTACACTCCCCACTCTTTTTGATTTTTTTTTGTTAGACTGTTCCCTAATTGCATCCATCATTTTTGCCAATTCAAGATAATCAAATAATCTGTCTTGCCACTCTTTTTGTGTTGGTACTGTTTCACTTTTCCATTATTATTTTTTGCAATTAATATTCTTGCTGCTGATGATGCGTAAGGGTATATTCTCTTATTTTCATTTGGGATGTTTAATATGCCCAATAAAAAGGCTTCTGGTTTCTCTCTAAAAGTTTGTTTAAATATTTTTTTTCAACTCCTCATAAACAGTGTCCCAGAAGCTCTTAATTTTGTTGTCAAATTTTCAAACGTTAAATTGATTGTAAAACTAGTGAAATGTATAAACTTGAAAAGTGTAAATAATTAGATAGATAGATGATAGATAGATAGATGATGATAGATGATAGATAGATAGATATAGATAGATAGATAGATAGATAGATAGATAGATAGATAGATAGATGATAGATAGATAGATGATATAGTAAATAAGGAGAATGAGTTGGGCAGTTGCATCCCAAGGAGAGGTTAAAAGTTACCTTCACATGGCACAGGTCATACAGCAAAGGTAAGAGATGGAAATTAATGTTTGGCAGGAGGAAAAGCTAGTGATGTTTCATAGCTGCTACCTAATAACAGATGTTAAGGTAAAGAGCATATTTTTGGGGGGAAAGGATCATCCCAAGGAAGAACTTGCACATCTCATTTTAAGTGAGATGACCAAGTTTTTCCATGTTAAAAGGTAAAGGGACCCCTGACCATTAGGTCCAGTCATGGCTGACTCTGGGGTTGTGGTGCTCATCTTGTTTTATTGGCTGAGGGAGCCAGCGTACAGCTTCTGGGTCATGTGGCCAGCATGACTAAGCCGCTTCTGGCGAACCAGAGCAGTGCACGGAAATGCCTTCCCACCAGAGTGGTACCTATTTATCTACTTGCACTTTGATGTGCTTTCGAACTGCTAGGTTGGCAGGAGCAGGGACCTAGCAACGGGAGCTCACCCCGTCGTGGGTGTTTGAACCACCGACCTTCTGATCGGCAAGTCCTAGGCTCTGTGGTTACCCAGAAACAAAAGTGAATATGCAAATCCCTTGTACACCTCTGTCTTGTTGTTTTGCGGTAATAAACAAAGCCAGTGCTTAATTCCTGATGAATACAATGTGCTTATAGCAATTTCTCTGTGAGTGAATAACATTGCATTGACTCTGTCCCTCTGGCTTCACAAAGAGCCATTTCAAGATCGCTAAACAACTACATCTGATGAGTGAAGTATCCCGTTTCCTCTCTATCCTGACTTCTTTCTCAAGCTGCCAGACTTCTCTTTAATCAGTAGTTGATGGGAAAAAAGTGATCGTACAATATAAAAAATGTCAGCTCTGTGGGTGGTACACAATTATCCAGAGGAGAAAAATCTCATCATGTTGTTGCTTGTTTGGTTTAGGAAATCACCTCAGCACAAACAGACTGAAGCAATTTTTAACCATCAAGACCTATAGAAATAAATTCAAGTTGTTAGCTATTTGATTCCTAAAAACTCACAGTCCAGTTAAGTTAAGGAGGTGTAAGAGAAGAAGGAAGGAAAGAGATGGGGATGAATGGGTCATAACAGCTGTTGCTTAGGACCAATATCTTGTGCAACAAATTACTCTAGAAAGGCAACTTATATTACCTTGAATGTGTATGACTAAATTCATTCAGATATACCCCATACGCTTCTGGGCTCAGTTCCAGGAGCTCCTCTACCTATTGGTTGGAGAGCTCGACTTTCAAAGCTATAAAAGCTTTGAAAGTTACCTTCACATAAGTGCGCACATTAAATCCAACAAGGTGCACCTTTTTGGGGGGGGGTCCATGAGGGAGGGAGGTTGGCTTTAAAAAGTTGCTTTTGCTCCAATTTCCCAATCTAAGATGCCAGATGGTGCTGTTTTGTTTTGTTTTGTTTTTTTATCAATTTTTATTAGTTTTTTAACATACCATTTTCAACAATAATTAAACATACTTTTAAATCTTATACAATTTTTTGACTTCCATCAATCCTGTCTGAAAATTTTCCAATCTAATCTCTTAGTATACATTTCTTACTTTCCCTATTACATTTAAAACTCATAACCAATCTCTCTATTCTTTGTAATGTTTCATATATTTCTCCTTACAAAACCTCTTATAGTGCTACTAGCGTAATTTGTTGGTTACAATTGCTCTTCATATAGTTCATATATTTCTTCCAATCTTCTGTAAATCTCTGTTCCCGCAGGTTTCGAATTCTTCCTGTCATTTTGTCCAATTCTGCACAGTCCGTTAATTTCGTCTGCCATTCTTCTTTCGTCGGGATTTCTTCTTGCTTCCATTTCTGGGCCAACGGATGGTGCTGTTTCGATTCATAATTTTGCTTCCAGAGCTTACCTGCCTCGTCTTCCCCCATTTTACTTCCCTCTGTTGGTCTTTGGGCAGGTGTTCAGAACCAGCTCTCCATGATGAATCATGGCATAGCAGGAATCAGCCTCTTCATAGGACTGAAAGGTTCCAAGGAAGAACTGGGATTTGAAGCTAAGAACTACTACATCTACCGACACAGCGACTTCAGTGAAGCGTAAGGTGTAACTTTGCTACCGAACCAGCTAAGAGTTAGGGGAAATTTGAAATTTATTTGACCACAGTGATATGGAGTGAAGAGAACCTTCTCTCAACTTTTGGGTCATATGGCCAAAATTGTAGAAGTTATATCCAAGATGGCATCACCCTTGGCTCATCCTTCAGTATGCATGGAACCAGTGCTTTTTTTCTTTAAAAAAATGTTTAGGGGTACTCTCATTTTCCTACTCATATTGAAATGCTGCCCCTCAGTGAGGCCAAACTTAGAATTACAAAATGTTTAGGGGTATGCGTACCTCTGTGTCCCCCCCCCCCAGGGAAAAAAGCACTGCATGAAATCAAAATGACCTAGGAGTTTCCTAATGAGGAAATGAAAATTTGGGGACTTTTTATTTGAGGGGGGCGAAGGAATAAAGTGACCCAAGGAGGGGTAGGTAGTGAGAGAAGTCTGTCAGTGGACTAATATTAATAATAATTAATAAAAATTTATTTATACCCCGCCCTCCCCGGCCAGAGCCGGGCTCAGGGCGGCTAACACCAATAAATTCACAGTAAAAACATCATAAGGAGGGAATACAGGTTAAAATGCAATTTAAAACGTAGCCCCATTTTAAAAACAGCCGATAAATCAAGACCATAAGGGGAGGGAAAACATAAGGGTCAACCCGAGTCCAATGCAAAGGCCAGGCGGAACAGCTCTGTCCGTCACCCAGTAGAACCGATTAGCAGGAGACAAAAGAAAATGCTTCTTCATTTATTGGATAGCTAAACTATGGAATTAATCAGGCAACTATGTGGTGGTGTGACCGCTAACTTTTTAGAAGGTCGTTTTTTCTGATAGATCTTTTTCAATAACCTCTAAGTGGCTTTTGGCTATTGCAGCTAAAGGGAGCCGCCATATTCAGATGTGAATAACAGTTGCTTGAGGGCAACAGCAAGTGACATCTGTTGCCTTCATGCCTTGCTGGTTGGTTTTAGGGAGGTATCTGACTGCCACCATGTGAAACAGAAAGCAGGACTAGAGGGACTTTAAAAAAAAAATCTAGGAAGGGTCTTCTCATCTCTGGTTTTCCACCCCCACACACTGCTGGCTAACACAGGTTTTGCAAAATTATATGAATTTAAGGTTACCCGGGACGCGGGTGGCGCTGTGGGTAAAATCTCAGTGCCTAGGACTTGCCGATCGTCAGGTCGGCGGTTTGAATCCCCGCGGCGGGGTGAGCTCCCATTGCTTGGTCCCAGCGCCTGCCAACCTAGCAGTTTGAAAGCACCTCCGGGTGCAAGTAGATAAATAGGGACCGCTTACCAGTGGGAAGGTAAACGGCGTTCCGTGTGCTGCGCTGACTCGCCAGATGCAGCTTGTCACGCTGGCCACGTGACCCGGAAGTGTCTGCGGACAGTGCTGGCTCCCGGCCTATAGAGTGAGATGAGCGCACAACCCTAGAGTCTGTCAAGACTGGCCCGTACGGGCAGGGGTACCTTTACCTTTTTAAGGTTAAAGTACTGAGAGCCTTAAATCTTCTAGGACAGACATCCCCAAACTCTGCCCTCCAGATGTTTTGGGACTACAATTCCCATCATCCCTGACCACTGGTCCTGTTAACTAGGGATGATGGGAGTTGTAGTCCCAAAACATCTGGAGGGCCGAGTTTGGAGATGCCTGTTCTAGGAGGTAATAATATAAAATAAATAGCATGATTATAAATGATAATAGCACTAAAATTAATGATACAATATCAAGTTTCAGTTTCCAAATAATAATACTAGAATTGCCGAATCACGCTAAACAGATAGCCAAATCTTATGAAGTGTCTCATTCCCAGAATTTATAAACCAGGACCGTTTTTCTACAAACTTGCTTGTTTGTACCCTATCTCGACTTCTTGGGAAGGAGGTAATGTCAGTTTAACTGGCTCACTTTGCATATCACGACAAATCATAGCTAGTTGTTTGTTTGCCATTAATGTGGAGATCCATCATGCTTCGCTCCTTCCCTCAGACCAGCAGGATTGGTCAGCCAAGAACAGACTTGGCATTATGGTTTGCCATCATTTGTGAAAGCTGCCTTTGAGAGTGTTATTTTATTTGTTCATATATACAACTCATAACTGTATACAAATGCAAATTAGATACTTGCCAGTAGTTGATCAATAACGTTCACTTAGCAGCCAAATTTTAGCTCCCTTGGCTACTGTGTCCATAGCTCCTTGTCTTTGTTCTTGTCTGTAGAAAAAGCACCTGAAATGATCTTGTACAATGGCCTTTATGGAGTGGGCCTTTATGGAGATGCAGAACTAAATTCTGGCACTCTAAATTCTAATTCTCTTGACTGTATTTGGATTGGGTGGATCTGAACTGAATTTTCAAAACTTTCTCCTGCTTCAACACGTTTTTTATTTATTTTTAACTGGCTGTGAAAATGGTATATCTGAATTGGTAAGCACAAGTGCTCTGACATGTTTCCTCCTGGAGCCTGGTACAGTTTTGTTTTTTCTATGCTTACACTCCAAAGGAATGTAGCTTTCATCGCAGCACAGCATGCTTTTTTCCAAAGGCATTCTGAGAGATCTGCATTGGCTCCCAGTACGTTTCCGAGCACAATTCAAGGTGTTGGTGCTGACCTTTAAAGCCCTAACTGGCCTCGTTCCTGTATACCTGAAGGAGCGTCTCCTCCCCCATCGTTCTGCCCGGACACTGAGATCCAGCGCCGATGGCCTTCTGGTGGTTCCCTCATTGCGAGAAGTGAGGTTACAGGGAACCAGACAGAGGGCCTTCTCAGTAGTGGCGCCCACCCTGTGGAACGCCCTCCCTTCAGATGTGAAAGAAATAAACAGCTATCCTATCTTTAAAAGACACCTGAAGGCAGCCCTGTTCAGGGAAGTTTTTAATATTTAACGCTGTACTGTTTTTTAACACTTGATTGGGAGCCGCCCAGAGTGGCTGGGGAAACTCAGCCAGATGGGGGGGGTATAAATAAATTATTATTATTATTATTATTATTATTATTATTATTATTATTATTCAACAGTGTACACTGCCCCCATCCGGCTTTCCCTTGTGGGAGACTGGAGAGAAGGCTTAAAAATTTAGGCCAGCCAAAAAGTTATAAGCCGCAGAAATTGTAGACACTTTCAACTCTCTCAAGCTTTTCCCCGTCTCCAGCATTAATAGTATAGTTTGATAATTTGTACACATTATGAAGTCAAAGTTCAGAGTAAGTCTTCTTTCTTGATAGGTTCGTTCGTTACTTTAATTGTTCGAGAGAAACCGCTCCAGAGAATATCCCCTTGCTATACATTGGTTCTCCATCGGCTAAGGACCCCCTCTGGGAGAAGAGATACCCAGGTATGGGTGCTGTTTGAACCAGCAATGCAACATCGTGTTTCTTAAGGGGTGGGAGGAAATGGAGAAGAGCCAGCAGGGGGGGGGCTTTGTAGCCCAGAGTTGGGCAACCTGTGGCCCTAAAGCTACGTGCAAATCTTAGCCTGGAATTCTGGAATGAAAGGAGATGGGAAGGAAAAGAGAAAACAGGTGCCCCACCTGCTTTGGCTTGTGGTCCTGCCCACCACTTGATTAAGAACTCACCCACTGCCAGTGAGCAGCCCCCAATAGATGATCCCCAGTGGGGGGGGGAGGTCTCTTCCCTTGACACCCTACCACTACCCCGAACTACCATAGACAACAGAATCTTGGAAATGCAGAGAGCAATCTAAAAGAGACTGGATCTTAGGATCCAGAATCATGCTGGGCTTACCGTATTTTTTGCTCAATAAGATGCACCAGACCATAAGACGCACCTAGTTTTTGGAGGCGGAAAACAAGAAAAAAAATATTCTGAATCGCAGAAGCCAGAACAGCAAGAGGGATCTGGCTTCTGGGATAGCCACTTGGTGTCCTGGCTTCTGGCTTCGCCGCGCGAAAACTCTCCTGGGCAGTAGGATGAAGACTCCCCCTGCCCGGAAGAGGCTGCGCATGGCTAAGCCAGAAGTCGGGACAGCAAGTGGGATCGCTTCTCCCTCCTCGGGGAAAAGCCCCCAAGAGCCGCACACACGCTCCACACAGTTCTTTAAAGGGAGTGCTGAGCAGACCCTCCTGCCTGCATTCGCTCCATAAGAGGCACACACATTTCCCCTTAATTTTTAGGAGGGGAAAACTGCATCTTACAGAGCGAAAAATACGGTACATGATCATGAATGGGTTGGGATACCAGATCAGGGAAACAAGATGTCATAGTCACAGAGGCCAGATACCAGACTGAACAGTTGGGCCACTGAGTGAGTATTTGTTCAGATAGCCAAACCAGACTAGGAGGAAGAACTTTATATGCCTCTCCATTGGGCTGCAATGTCAGATAGCCAGTTTCAGGCTAGCTGACAGTTTTCAGGTCAATACAGCTTGGGTCGCTGGCCAAAGGCCCTAGAGTGCTGATGGTTGTATGAGATGAGGTGTCACAGAATGCACAGGTTTGTGAAACGTACATCCTTAACACCTGACAAATCTTCTGCAATAATCTGGGGTGGTAAGATGTCCCTTTGTGGCAACCACAACACTAATGAAACACTTTGTGCCCTTTTCATTATAGGCAAGTCCACTCTAATTGTCCTGGCAGTTGCAAAATATGAATGGTTTGAGGAATGGAAGGAGGAAAAGGTTACTAAGAGGGGAGCGGAGTATGAGGCCTTCAAAAACTGTTTTGTGGACAACATAATGGAAACGGTTCTGAAATTTTACCCACAAATAAAAGATAAGGTAAGGGCGCTCCTTGTCTCGCACCATCAGTTGTGCAAACAACAGCAAAGAAGGAACTTTTCAGCTCTCTTTAAATAATTTCTAGCATGGTGTTTTAGAAATTGTTTGCACATAAAGTCCTAGATTTGGCATAGCCTAAGGATCGTGCTGCTCCCATCCTTTTGAGGTCAACTGAGGTTAGAGACATTACTGATAGCTTATTCAGTAAGCTCATAAGATCAGCTAGGGTTCAGGATGAATGTCTCTGTCCTTTTGTTATTCTCTTGGAAGCAAGGCCTGCCTTCTACTATTCATTATACTTTCTGTCTATCTGTTGCTTTCGCTCTCTCTGTTTCCATTTCCCTTCTTAATTTAAAGCCCCAAGGTTTCTTAAGCAGATGGTACAGTTCCCAAGATGTTCTGGCCCCAAACTGTGAACAGTTTGGGACCAGAACATCTCGACCAAGTTTAAAATACTGTAGCAGCAAGAAGATTGCAAAAGTCAAGATGGACTTGGAGCAAAACGTTGCAGTGTGGAAAGTTCCCATTCAGAGCACCAGCCAGCCATGCTGGTTTTGATGGTATTCTTTATTTTATTCCACTTAACCCCTTCCCAACAGACAGGCAGCGATCCCACTGAGCATACTCCCTGTCTTCCCTGTGCTATCCTTAAACCCTTTTAAAGGTTTCCCCTGATCCTACTGAATAAATAACAATGAACCTCCCTGGCCATTTTGATCTGTCTCTTTCTCTGAACAGATTGAGTATGTCTCTGCGGGAACTCCTCTCACCAATAAGCACTACATAGCTTCTGTCCAAGGAGAGCTGTATGGTGCAGAGCACAGCATCTCCCGACTCCAGGTGGAAGTCATGGCCACAATACGCCCTCAGACCCCTGTCCCAAACCTCTACCTAACAGGTAAATGCTGCTTCCTTACCAATTCCAACCTGCCACAACCCTTCACCATTAGGCTTATTTAACTTCTTTAGCCTGTCCCATCCCAAGTGCATAGAATAGATGATGTTTCTGCACTAGTCTTGACTTTGGAAAATAAGGGTTATCTACTCAGAGTAGGCCCATTGATGGGTTAACCTAGGCTCATTAATGGCTGCTCACCGGGTCCCGACAGTGGGCGACATTTGTGGCCCAACGCACAGCCCCGCCATCTTGGAGCCATGATGGAGAGTTGGGCTGTTGCTCCACCCCCTGGGTTGCCGCGGGGGCCTCTGGGTTCCCACCAAACCTAGGTGCTTTAGATCGGCCAATCCACAGCGGGCCGGTGTGGGGGCTAGAGGCGCGGACCGGGCGAGCACAGACTTTGCCCCAGTCTGCTCCTTAGGCAGGCCTGACAGAGTATACCTGACCGGCTGGGGAATTAACATTGGTTGTGGGCTGTGAAGCAGGGCCTTCAGGATTGGTTGGCGGCCATCTGATTTTGTGGTTTCAGTTGTAGGTAGTCTTGGTGGTGGTGAGATCACAAGTTCGCGGTCTTGGGTGGTGGTTTTAGACCTTGGGCAGCATCCTTTAGTCCATCATCCAATAATAAATGGGGTGCTGTGGTGACGCACCCCTCCTGTGGCAGCGATAACAGGGTCCCCATTAAAGGGGATAGTGAGGGGAGTCTATGGCCACGGACATACAGTGGTGGGTCACAGAACTCCCATCAGCAACTTGGAATGGGGGCCAGCTGTGTAAACGCACATTTCGCAGTGTCGCCATATTCATGACTAACCCCGTCTTGCCTCAGACCCCCACCGGAGGGCTGAGAGGGATACACACCCAATGCCTAAGCCAAGGTTTTCCTACATCTGAAATTAATAAAAAGTAGTGTCCATTTTAATCCCAATTATGTGTCATGTGTTTTCATTGATGTGTGGTCTGGCTCCCGGGAGAGGGGGAGGTCTACTCTAATTGGAGCTTAGGAACAAAAACTACATTGGGGGCATTCACTTCCTCCAGCCTTTTTGCCCTAGAGGTGCAGATGAGTGAATGAACTGGGAAAGGAAGAATGGGAATTAACCCAAGCAGATATTGTTGACCATTTCCCCTAAGCCACACCCACTTGCTCCACACATGACATGATGTGAATGAGGGAAGGACCCAGTAAAGATGCAACTGCAAAGGAACTACTGGGAGCCTTAAAGTGCCTGTGGGATTTGTTTTGCTCAGGAGCTGCCCGTCAGAAATATTGAGTTCAGCCAAACCCTGGTGCAGAGAGGGGCTTGCAGTAGGGGCTGGACTTAATTTCTCTAAATGTGAATCACCTGGTACTTGGTGCCTGACCTACCTATCAAAGTGGCCCTCATAGAGTGGGAAAGCTATGGATGCAGCCACCAGGCTTGATCCAATTCCCCCACCCCTGATCTATAATGTACCCAAAGCCATTGCTTCTTTGTAGAAACAGTGTACGCTTTTTCCTTGCTTCACAGCAAAAGTACTTTGGTGAGTTTAATGCAAGTGGCTTTCCTCTACGATTGCAGATGTAGCAATGCCATCCCTATACAGTGGTACCTCTGGTTGCGAACGGGATCCGTTCTGGAGATCCGGCTGCATCCCAAGGAATTCACAACCAGAGGTGCCGCTTCTGCGCATGCGTGCGGCGCATAGAGCACTTCTGCACATGCACACAGGGCGAAACCCAGAAAAATACTTCCGGGTTTGCCACATTCGCATCCTGAAAGATATTGATACAAGCTAGTACCATTGACACCTGTGCCACCTAGTTTCGAGGTTAAGCCACCTTTGTTTCCTTAGATTCAGACTGTCAATATCTCATACTTACAGTGCAGGGGACCTCGAGAGCTTTATAACTTTATCTAATGTGGTGCTGCATTGATTACTCCCCCCCCCCATGAGTATAATTTTTAAAACCCCTCTTGTAAAGTTAGAAGATGCTTTCAGTCTGGAGGGGTGATTTCACCCTAGTCCCTGGAATAGCAGGAAGCCACTCCCAAGGGTTAGATCTTGTTCTAACATGGAAATAGCATATTAAACTCAATTAGAAAAATAGAATGAACTAGGTCTTGGGGTGTCTGGGTTTCTTTTTAAAGTTGCCTGATCTTTCTGTGTGTCCCTTTCTTAGCTTTTCCTACTGGCTACACAAGTGCCTTAAGGGGTTTCTGCAAGTGTCCTTCTGCATAATATACCGTATTTTTTGCTCTATAAGACTCACTTTTTCCCTCCTAAAAAGTAAGGGGAAATATGTGTGCGTCTTATGGAGCGAATGCAGACTGCGCAGCTATCCCAGAAGCCAGAACAGCAAGAGGGATTGCTGCTTTCACTGCGCAGCGATCCCTCTTGCTGTTCTGGCTTCTGAGATTCAGGATATTTTTTTTCTTGTTTTCCTCCTCCAAAAACTAGGTGCGTCTTGCGGTCTAGTGCGTCTTTTAGAGCGAAAAATACGGGTAATTCAGCTGCACTTTGCTGCACTGAGGTGCTCTCCCAAACATCATTCCTGGCTATTGACAAGAGGGGTGGTGATGAGGAGAAAGATAGACAAGAGTAAAGACTGATAAGAGGCAATTACAGTGGTACCTCTGGATACGAACGGGATCTGTTCCGGAGCCCCGTTTGCATCCTGAAGTAAATGTAACACGCAACTGCACGTCTGCGTGTGTCGCGTTTCACCGCTTCCGCGCATGCGCGTGAGGTCATTCTGAGCATCTGCGCATGCACGAGTGGCGAAACCCTGAAGTAACACACTCAGTTACTTCTGGGTCACCGCGGAGCGCAACCCAAAAATACTTAACTTGAAGCTACTTTAACCCGAGGTACAGTGGTGCCTCGCAAGACGAAAAGAATCCTTTCCGCGATTCTCTTCGTCTAGCGGTTTTTTCGTCTTGCGAAGCAACCCTATTAGCGGCTAAGCGGATTAGCGCTATTAGCGGTTTAGCGGCTTAGCGGCTATTAAAGGATTAGCGGCTAAGCTGCTAAAAGGCTATTAGCGGCTTAGAAAAAGGGGGGGAGCGGGGGGGAAAATCGCAAGACTAGCAAGACGTTTCGTCTTGCGAAGCAAGCCCATAGGGAAAATCGTCTTGCGAAGCAACTCAGAAACGGAAAACCCTTTCGTCTAGCGGGTTTTCCGTCTTGCGAGGCATTCGTCTTGCGGGGCACCACTGTATGACTGTCCTCCGTAGAGCATGAGACTCTTAATCTCAGGGTTGTGGGTTGATGCCCCACGTTGGGCAAAAGATTCCTGCATTGCAGGGGGTTGGACTAGATGACCCTCATGGTCCCCTCCAACTCTACAATTCTATGACTCCTCCTTGTCTTTTGTTTTCCCCTGCCAGGTCAGGATGTCTTTGTCGGTGGCTTTCCAGGAGCACTTCATGGAGCCATTGTCTGCGCTTCTGCTGTCCTGAAGCGTAATCTCTACATCGACATCATGTGGTTATACGGAAAAATCAAAGCCAACAGTGCCATGAAGAAAAACTGAGCCTTCAACCTCCACCTCAGAAAGAAAACTTGCTCCTCCTGCTATGTAGACTACCCGCTACCTGGTTTCTCCGTTTCCCCTCCAGGGCATGTCAGCAGGGACCAAAACTAGCCATCTAACTTGGTTCATTATTGCAGAAAGTTCTGGTTCATGTGTGTTGCTGTGGAACAGGTTGCAGTTTAGTACGTAGGTCCATTAAGCCGTTCTGATAGGTTTTTCGTGGCAGAAATAAGGACTCTACCTTCCAAGCCCTCATGGGTCGGTTTTAAGCATCTTAGTGGTACCGTGGTACCCTAATTGGGGTGGCACTGGCAAGTACATGGGCTTTAATGCCAAGGAGAATTGCTGAAGCTACTAGAGCAGTGGTTCATAGTTCAACAACATCTGAGGACTCACAGGTTGAGAAAGGCTGTGCCAGAGGCACCATTCCCTATATTTGAGGTGACTGTCTGAGAATTTGTTGTCCCAGGTGATGTAGACCTGAATTGCCCTTTCTCTACAAGGAAGGGTTTCCCTATCAAGTACCGTAACTCAGTGGTAGAAAGCATGTTTTAGATGCAGCAGGTTCCAGGTTGAGTTATTGGCATCCTCAGGTAAAGGATCTCAGGGAGCAGGAAAAGCATTTTCTTAAGACCCTAGGATGCTGCTGCTACTTGGTCAGAGCAGCTGGACCAATACATCTAACTTGTTTTTAAGGCAGCTTCGTATGTCCATGGTGCTAAAGACCAGGGTGCAGCACTCTTACGAAACGGTACTGATGCATTCTATGCTACTTATGGGAGCAATATAGGCTAGATCACTCGTACAGAAATAAGCCTAGAGAAAAGGTTAATACAAAACGGGTGATAGAAATGTAAACCAATTGCAGAAGTTTCCACAATTGCAGAAATATCCGCATTCACAACTGCCGTTTCCCCAGCGGCCACATGGAAGTGGAAGTAGATGCAACTCTCTCCATGTTCCATCTGGTTCATGTTCACACTTTTTCATGTCGTGGACATATGACAACGTGAGGAAAATAAACAGGCTTAACAGAGAAGAGTGGGTGGCTTCAGTGCACTTGCTTCTATGAGGGGATAGAGCGCTTGTGGCAGTGCACAGTGTAAACATGTAAGGGCCTGAAAATGTAGAGCAGTGTTCAGGCAGAGATGAAGCACAGCATTTTGTTTCCTCTCTCCTTCCTCTCTCCCTGCCCCAACACCTTGTTATTCTTTAAGATTAGGGTGGGTACAAATGTTCTGTTCCACTTGCAGTTGCCATCTCCTCACAAAACACCAATTTTTAACCTTTGGGATAGAGGGTTGTGCGAGAAAAGTGAAAATTTAAACCCAAATACAGTGGTACCTTGGTTCTCAAACTTAATCCGTTCCGGAAGTCCGTTCCAAAACCAAAGCGTTCCAAAACCAAGGCGCGCTTTCCCATAGAAAATAATGCAAAATGGATGAATCCATTTCAGACTTTTAAAAACAACCCCTAAAACAGCAATTTAACATGAATTTTACTATCTAATGAGACCATTGATCCATAAAATGAAAGCAATAAACAACGTACTGCAGTCACACAATCAATCAATTCAGTAGCTATCCACACAGTCACAAAAACAAAAAAGAGAGTTGCAAAAACAGAAACTCAAAATAAATAGCAGAAACAGACAGACATAAGCATAACACTCAAAACGGAAGTGTGGCACTCAAATTGGAAGCGTAACACTCAAAACGGAGCACGTTCGGCTTCCAAAAAAAGTTCGCAAACCGGATCACTTACTTCCGGGTTTGCAGTGTTTGGGTTCCAAGTTGTTTTGAGTACCAAGGCGTTTGAGAACCAAAGTACCATGTATGTGTTCCTCTGCTTAAGAATGCAAGGGGAGTCCTGCTTTTCAGCATTCTGTTTCCCACAGCAGCCAGCCCCATGCCTGTTGCCAGCAAGCTTGGTTCAGCTGAAACATTGAATATGCAGAATTATGTGTTTGTTTTAGCTTTTCTCTGAGCAATGAGTAGTGCACTATAGCAAAGGAATCAGATAAAGCTGTAAGAATTCAAGCCAAGTGTCCTCCCACCAAGGGAAGCCCTTGATGTGGTTCTCACCAAATGCCCTTCTCTCGATCAGGCATTGTATGGGGAATTTTCCACAGAAGCAGGTGTGCATAATGAGCACATCCCTGGATGACATGAGTGCAAAAGCCCAATTACACCCTGGAATTTTGACCATATCTCATGCAAGCTGTTGTTGTTGAGTCGTTTAGTTGTGTCCGACTCTTCATTACCCCATGAACCACTGCCTCCTGCAGTCAAATTCATGTTGGTAGCTTCGAGAACACTGTCCAACCATCTCGTCCTCTATCGTCCCCTTCTCCTTGTGCCCTCCATCTTTCCCAACATCAGGGTCTTTTCCAGGGAGTCTTCTCTTCTCATGAGGTGGCCAAAGTATTGGAGCCTCAGCTTCAGGATCTGTCCTTCCAGTGAGCACTCAGGGCTGGTTTCCTTCAGAATGGAGAGGTTTGATCTTCTTGCAGTCCACGGGACTCTCAAGAGTCTCCTCCAGCACCATAATTCAAAAGCATCAATTCTCATGCAAGTAGACATCCTTATTTAGTTATCGACGAACACGAAGAAAGAAACATCCTCCAGCAAACATATTCCACTGGTAATTGGACTAAATTTTGATTTTCCTGACTGGAAAACGTTTCCACCTTTCCCCACAACTGACAGCTCAGTCACCTGACAGCGAAGTCTGCTTGGCCGCTGACCCTTATGACTCAGCCACTTTCCAGTGGGGAAATTGTATTGTGATTTCTGTCCTTTTATCATTTAACATCCTTTCCTTTCGGTCAGTTTTGCTAGAGCTAAGGATGCAGAGGGAAGTTCCTTTGCACAATCAAAAGTCCTCTCGCTAGCACATCTGTTTAGCTGGATGGTGCCCATCATCTATGTTCAGGGCTGTAAAAATAACTTGCACATAACCAAGAATTCTGTTGCTGATCATAAAGAGCAAATGACTTGAGAAACTGGGGCAGAGGATGTCAATGGCAAAGTCAATGCAATTTGTATGTTAGTTTAGGTAGAGAATATGCATGTCAGACTTTTATGGAAATGTACATGGACGCGGGTGGCGCTGTGCGTTAAACCACAGAGCCTAGGACTTGCCGATCAGAAGGTCGGCAGTTCGAATCCCCACGATGGGGTGAGCTCCCATTGCTCGGTCCCTGCTCCTGCCAACCTAGCAGTTCGAAAGCATGTCAAAGTGCAAGTAGATAAATAGGTACCACTCCAGCGGGAAGGTAAACGGTGTTTCCGTGCGCTGCTCTGGTTTGCCAGAAGCGGCTTAGTCATGCTGGCCACATGACCCGGAAGCTGTCTGCGGACAAACGCTGGCTCCCTCGGCCAATAAAGCGAGATGAGCGCCGCAACCCCAGAGTCGGTCACGACAGGACCTAATGGTCAGGGGTCCCTTTACCTTTACCTTTTACATGGTGCCCGATATATGTATTTATATAGAAATGTATCCCCCCCCTTTGATTTATGGTTTCATTGGTTTATGAAAACTAGATCGGTACTTTTTTCCCCTTGCTGTCCTTTTGTGGAGAGGGGCCATCACTCACAAGGCAGGACCATAGATCAGTGATAGGGAATGTGTTTTGCCTTCAGAAGATTACAGGTTTGCCCCCCTGGTATCTCTAGAAAGAGAGAATTCTTTCATATCACCAGCTATTTGAGAAAGCCATTTTCAATTAGAGATGGACAGTACTGGGCAAGATGCACTGGCTAAAAACCGTGTTAAATGTTTTGTCTCTTAGTTTTGTAGAAGAATACACTTGATGTTTTACAGTATGTATTTTCTATAGAAAAATATATATAACATGTGGACCAGCTCTGTGTCTCAGTCTTGCAATTGTTTTGAACTACTTTCTCTTTTCTTTTCTTTTTAAAAATGCATTTTTCTTCCATCATGGAACACAAGCAGTGCCAGATTTACATATAAGCTAAACAAGCTATAGCTTAGGGCCCCACTTTCTTGGGGGCCCCCAAAAAATCTAAAGGGAAAAAACTGGATGTACATTTCCAAAATATAAGATTAAAAAACAAATACAATAAAACCTACATACAGTTAGAGCTTAATAATTATTTTACTATTAATATACTTCTTCTTAATTGTATTTCACTGTTAATATACTACTTCTTAATTAGTTCAGCAATTACTTTGATGAAATACATATTTTGTTATGTGCAAATGGCTTTAGTTACCTATTAGGTCCATAAATTACCATATAGCATATATTCAACGCAAAAAAGAGCGGCAATTTGTTGTTGAAAAAGGACAGCTGGACATATAAAGGGCCCCGTTACCTTCAGTAGTTTAGGGCCTCGTCAAACCTAAATCCGGCCCTGAACCTAAATCTGGCCCTGAACACAAGGCAGTGATTTTCATGTGGCTCCCAGGCAGCTACCTATCAGGGCACTCTGACTGGACTCTGACCTACTTTAGCTGCAACAAGGTGGTGGCTTCATGTGTCTTCAGACCATACCCTACCCCCCCCCAAAAAAAATGCAAGGGAAGGTGAAGTAGAATGAGACTCTGTAACCTTGCATGGTCCTTCTGCGTCTCATTCGAGACCCATATGCGAGACGCAAAAGGATCATGCTGCTGGTGGAAAGATGTACCCAGCATAAAAAGATTTGGAGTGCAGATTGAGGATTGGAGCTGGCTGCTGGTGGTTAAATCCTTTTGCACTCCACACAGGTAGTTTTACTCTGAGCACAGCATAGTCCTGCAAAGAGGATAGCAGCTATTTTATCTTTCACATCGCACATACACACTAGGGGGGTAGGAAGATCATGAGCTCTCCTGTGGTGTGGGGGAGAAATACTGTACTTTTCCATGTATAAGACTGTTAAGTTGTGGGTGAACATATCAGAAGACACAGCGATTCTTCAAACAGCTCTTTGTTTATTCACAGAACAGAACAGAACTGAGCTGAAGGGTTCAGCCAGCCTGCTTATATAGAGCTCAACTACAAAGCAACAGTAACCATTTTCTGTAACTGTCCAATCACTGAACGTCACTTTCTATTCCTTATTTGCATACGTGGACCTGAGTGAAAACTATCTACAGTATCCCCCTGCTGGCCCAGGGTGAGAACTTCAGTACATAACAAAGACGAGGTTTTTCTACTTAAAAATAATGTTTAAAAATGGAGCTCATCTTATACATGGGCAGTGCATGGGGAGGGGGACTAATGATTGGTTGCAACTGCAAGCTGCAGCTTCTCAGCAGCGATTGGGTGGGTGATTGTTGGCTGCATGAAGGGCTGCTTTCGACTGGCTGCTCCTGCGTTAATTGGGTTATTGATGGTTTGCTGCAGCAATGGCTGCTGTGGATTGGCTGCTGCGGCGGCAACTGGGCGTTTCCCCCCCCCTGCATTTGGGTTAACGATTTTCTGCATTCCCCGCCCAAAAATAGCTGAACGACCTTGGCAATCCCCCCCAAAAAGATCAACAACTCTGGGCCATCTCCCCCCATTTTCTTAAATTTGAGTCCCCCCAAATACACAGGGGCATGTTATACACAAAAAAATACGGTAAGTAGCTGCCTTGGAGTGGAGGGCAAAACAATAGCGATGCTTCATCTGCCTGATTCAGAAGGAAGAGGCGGGGGGAGTTCAGGAGCTGCTCTATGTTCCCTAGAGCAGTGATAAATCAAGTTATATAAGTCTGGAACCTTTAACAGTCTTGAGGCCAGAGCTCTTTAGGTGGTAAACGTATATTCGCAAAATGTGATAACTGCAGTCCTGTTGCCCCACACGTTGTGTTGAGTGCAAACTCTGGATGTCTGCCACAAAGTGCTGTCCTTAGAGAATCACTGTGTTAGAGACAAAATTAATCCATCCTACAGAGATTTCTAGACACCTTGGTATGTGGTATAGTAGTTAAGAGTATCAGATATGGGCTGGGGAGGGCTATCCAGGTTCTAAATCTTAGCTCAGCCATAAAGCTCCCTGATTTACCTTGAACCAGTCCCACACACAAACACAGCCTAGTCTGCCTCAGAGGATAAAGTGGAGGTGGAGAACTCTGTTTGTTGCATTGAGATCTTTGCAGGAAAGGCAAAGGTTTTTTTTAAGATGTGGGTTAAACCACAGAGCCTAGGACTTGTCGATCAGAAGGTTGGCGGTTCAAATCCCCGCAACGGGGTGAGCTCCCGTTGCTCAGTCCCAGCTCCTGCCAACCTAGCAGTTTGAAAGCACATCAAGGTGCAAGTAGATAAATAGGTCCCGCTCCAGCGGGAAGGTAAACGGCGTTTCCATGTGCTGCTCTGGTTTGCCAGAAGCGGCTTGGTCATGCTGGCCACATGACCCGGCCAATAAAGCGAGATGAGCGCCGCAACTCCAGAGTCGGCCATGACTGG